AAATATTTCCCAGCAGCATTTCATCACCTTCCTCCTTGAGAGGTATCCAATTCAGGCTGATGCATACACCACACAGTGGCCCACAATTAAGACAACCCTGCATCAAAAGGTCCTAAGAGCTACAGTTCAGTCAGACAGCTGGATGCACTGAATAGCCTAGAAGACTACCTCAGTAGGATGCTTTTGTACCTTTAGATATAGATAGTTCCCTTGAAGGACTGGTGACAGATATTTAAGGGTAAACAATATGTCAGAGACAGCCTACAAGCAAAGAACACAATAGCCAAAGGATGACCCTGTCCATTTGTCAGAGCGCCTGCTCTCTGCCAGAGGACACCAGGAAATCTGTGTGGGTTTTTTTTCACTCTTTCCTTTCTCAGCTATCCTTCTTGGGTGTTTTGCTTCTGTTTTTTTCAGCTTTACTGCTCTCAGGAGCTGCAAGGATTAAGAAAATCTGGTTTTAGGGACATTTCTGGTCATCAGGACAGTGACTAGGCAATGGATTAGGCATTTGTTCTAATTTTTATATATATATTTTTGTTTATAATATATTTGTTATATTTTCTCTGAGACTTTCAGGAAAGCAGCAGCAGCAGCTGGCAAAATCTTGGAGCAGATTCTCCTGGATGGCATGCTAAGGCACCTGAAAAACAACAAGGTGCTTGGTGACAGCCAGCATGGCTTCACTAAGGGGAAATCCTGCCTGACCAATTTGGTGGCCTTCTATGATGGGGCTACAGAACTGATGGACAGGGGTAGAGCAGTTGACGTCATCTACCTGGACTTGTGCAAAGAGTTCGACACTGACCCACACGACATCCTTGTCTCTAAATTGGAGAGACATCAATTTGATGGATGGACCACTCGGTGGATAAAGAACTGGCTGGATGGCCGCACACAAAGAGTTGTGGTCAATGGCTCAATGTCCGGCTGGAGACCAGTAACGAGTGGTGTCCCTCAGGGATCGGAGTTGGGACCGGTCTTGTTCAACATCTTTGTCGCTGACATGGACAGTGGGATTGAGTGCGCCCTCAGCAAGTTTGCCGATGACACCAAGCTGTGTGGTTTGGTTGATACGCTGGAGGGAAGGAATGCCATCCAGAGGGACCTTGACACACTTGTGAGGTGGGCTGATGCCAACCTCATGAAGTTTAACCATGCCAAGTGCAAGGTCCTACACCTGGGTTGGAGCAATCCCAGGCACAGCTACAGGTTGGGCAGAGAAGAGATTCAGAGCAGCCCTGTGGAGAAGGACTTGGGGGTGTTGGTTGGTGAGAAAACGAACATGAGCCGGCTTCAGTGTGCGCTCCCAGCCCAGAAAGCCAACCGTATCCTGGGCTGCATCAAAAGGAGTGTGACCAGCAGGTCGAAGGAGGTGATCCTGACCCTGTACTCTGCTCTTGTGAGACCTCACTTGGAGTATTGTGTGCAGTTCTGGTGTCCTCAACAGAAAAAGGACATGGAAATGTTGGGAAAAGTCCAGAGGAGGGCCACGAGGATGATCAGGGGACTGGAGCACCTCCCGTATGAAGACAGGCTGAGGAAGTTGGGGCTGTTCAGCCTGGAGAAGAGAAGGCTGCGTGGAGACCTCATAGCAGCCTTCCAGTATCTGAAGGGGGCCTATAGGGATGTTGGGGAGGGACTCTTCATTAGGGAATGTAGTGATAGGACAAGGGGTAACGGGTTCAAACTTAAACAGGGGAAGTTTAGGTTGGCTATAAAGAAGAAGTTCTTTCCTGTTAGGGTGGTGAGGCACTGGAATGGGTTGCCCAAGGAAGTTGTGAATGCTCCATCCCTGGCAGTGTTAAGGCCCGGCTGGACAGAGCTTTTGGTGACATGGTTTAGTGTGAGGTGTCCCTGCCCACGGCAGGGGGGTTGGAACTAGATGATCTTGAGGTCCTTTAGAGCCTTAACTATTCTATGATTCTATGATTCTATGAGCTCTGTGTCACCAGTGGCAGAATTGTAACCCTGACACAAAGGTCTTAGCTGGTCTGTGATGTGCAAAGTATATTCATCCTTGAGAAAGAACCACTAAAACCTGTTCACACCAAATTTCAGTTTTGATGAACCAGAGATTTGCAGGCAATGAACACACCATGCAAAAGATCTCAACCAGCACTAACTGTAATAAGTTTTCTTTTCCTTAAATGCCTGGGTCTTTTCAGACAGAGCATCAAGAAAAGTCACCCTATGACAGTGTTCCTGCTATGAGGATAAATGTCCTTCTCATTACCCAAATGACAGGAAGTGGCAGAAATTGTGCTGTTGCCCAGTAAGCCATTGAATTGCATTTACACCTAGTTTTTCTTTTTCACCTCTCAAATTGAAGTTCAGAGTCCCTACAAACTCTTATCTTGATTATCACTGGCTGTGAGCCAAAGCGCACTTTGCTCAGCTTTCTATAAAATGTAAATCATGAGCAATCCAATGGCTTCCTGCAATATCTTTCATTAAAGGAAGATGGATCTACAGACTGAGAAGAGGGGGCAAACTTGTGATGCCCTCTGAAGCACCTTAACCAGCTCGACTTTGTTAACCTGCCAAGATATAGGGCTTTGTTAACCAGCTCAAGATATAGCTGACTTCAAGGAACAGCTCAAGCAAGTTCAGCAAGGCCTACATAATATTTAGAGGTTCCCCAGCAAAGGTAAAATCTTGGTACTATTCAAGCAAAATGTAGCACTCTGAATTCAATAGACCAGGAGATGTGAGGCTGCTGCAGCTCCATGCCCCCAGGTCCAAACTGTAGTGAGCCTAAAGATGTTTTCCTAGTAGGCACATGCACACAGAGAATGTTTATATACCACATATATATGTATACACGGCTGGACACACAGGTCACAGATAGACATTTACACCAACGCAAACAGCACATGTCTCCTGACCTATGAACTTGATGCAGCTGACCCTATTTAGGATAATGCTTCCCAATAGAAGAAGTGTATGTCTGTCCTGATGGGAGTCAGGCGTGGCAAATAGCAGACTCAAGCAGCCCAAACAGCATGTATTCCCATCTCCCTACACTCCAAATTGCATGTGCCACTGGGTCTCACTGCACTGTTTTCCTCTGCAAAACCCCCAGGTAAGGTCACCTACTTATAAATCATAAATATCACAGTCCAGGATGTCTGTTGCTTTTATCTCAGGAACTTCTGGTGCTCTTGCCTCACCTGCATGAAGGAGACCCACCCAAGGGGGGCGGGGGTTCTGTGGCAGACATATTGCTATTTCTTTTCCCCAGCTACAAAATTATGAAGGTGCTTTTCAGACACTGATCTCTTCAGTGCTATTGGGGCACAAAATACTGAAGAACAAGGGTGCAGCCACAGGGGAAGAGCAAAGCTGATCAGATAACCTGAAAAAAGAAATGCCTATTTCATCTTTGCTATTCCTTATCCTTAGGTTTGATGCTAATATTTGATGTTCAGTTATCTCTCCTGACAAAAGCTCTCCAGAAAAAAGTACAGTCTTGCTCTCTATTCCCTTACTGTATCTCATTGGAGATAAAACACAGCTTCTCCGTGGAGTTTGCTTCTCTGGCACATAATTTCTTGGGTTTGTTTTTAAAAAGAGCTGAAGAAGGATTTTGCCGGATTAACTGGCTTTCTCATAATAAAAGCCTTGAGCAGCTATAATTGTATAGTTGGCTTTGTTTACAATTATATCAGCTTCTCTTTTCTCTGTGATTTGTTTCCCAGTGTTGTTATCCAACACGCGTTCATGTTTGGTTTTGTTTTTTGTTTTGTTGTGGGTTTTTTTACAAATGGGATGATTGTTCCTCAAATGCCTGAAGCTGTTGCTGTGCTAATTCCTTTACTCAGCCTGCTGTGTCCTGTCCAACCTCCTGCCATGGGCAGGGACACCTTCCACTAGACCAGGTTGCTCCAATCTGGCCTTGAACACTGCCAGGGATGGGGCAGCCACAGCTTCTCTGAGCAACCTGTACCAGGGCCTCACCACCCTCACAGTAAAGAATTTCTTCCTTCTACTTAAGCTTCTAACCTAAATCTCCCCTGTTTAAGCTTGAACCCATTGCCCCTTGTCCTATCACTACAGTCCCTGACCAAGAGGAAAGAATGCCTTAAGCAGCAATCTGGTTTCAGTAGAGTACATTCAACAGCCACTCTCATACATTCCACTTTCCCAGGCCTTAGAAAAGAAATTGTTCTCCTTCAAACTCCAGGTGCCTTTTCAGTCCCACAAAACATAACAGCTGGTGAGCATGGCCCCATGAGCAGCACCTGATGTACACAGTCTATTTTCACTTTTTTTTCTACAAAGTTTTTCGAATTTGATTTGAAAAAATTGCCAGATCTCAAACACAAAAGCCATGGGATGTTGAAGAGCTTTCAGCTCCAGATTAAGTTCAAGAGCCCCTGCCACAAATCCTTGAAGATCATAAGATGCCACAAGACTTTAAACTGGAGAGATGTAGTTCATGGGGAAAAGATCAGAGGAAGCTCCCTGTGACTCCTGCCTTTCAAGATAACAATCTTGTGTGTTTAAACACTTCCACACCTCCTACATAGTTCATCTGATGCAGACACGATGCCTGTGATGCACAGACGCATGTCACAGTATACTGAAGGGCAAGACAAACTTGAAGATGATTTTGCAGACCTGGGTGAAAATCCCAGTCTGGAAAATGGATGAAGGACTGCATTGCTTTTCTCTCCTCAGCTTTGTAAAGTGGCATTTCTGCCTGTGAACCAAAGGATTCAGTACATGAAAAAGCGTCAGAATTATAGTTGAGCAAGCCAGTGAGGGGTGCTTACACACAGAGATGTTCTCAGAAAGTGTCAGTGTCAGCCTGAACTCTCATGGTAGGAAAAACCAAACAACCAAACAAAACAAACCCCAAGTAATCACTCATTTTCTGTAGAAAATGGTAGGCAATAAAAATACTCCCAAGGTTCACGGCACACTAAAAACTGACAGATAAAAAATACTCACTATGAATCTGTCAAGCAGCTCATGCTGCAGCAGGGCGAAAGCATGAAGCTCAGGAGCTAGGACCTCCAGTACTTAGGGAAGAAGGGAAAACATGAACAATAAAAACTTCAGTTATCCTGCAGCTTGCATGAAATCTGTGGGAATTTGTCAACCATGCTGGAAAAACACAGGAAAGAAGTGAATGAGCAAAGTTGGGCAGAGGGATTGCAGCTTAATTCAAGATCAGTCTGAGCCTTAAAATATGTAAGTTTACCTCTTTGCCTACAGAACTCCTGTGAATGAGTTATCCAGCAGCATTTCCTGCTGTTAGCTTTCCTGGCAAGGCTGCAATCAGAATAGAATTTCCATGTCAGAAGGAAACACACAAGTAGTGAAGTATGCAAATAGGGTAAAAAAGTAATTCACACATTTATGTTTAAGAGCCCATTTTGATTTTTCTAGTAATAAATTGAACTATCTCCAAGTTATCTTACTTACAAGTTATCCAAGTTATACCACTGTAAGGGTGGTGAGGCACTGGAGTGGGTTGCCCAAGGAAGTTATGAATGCTCCATCACTGGTGGTGATCAAGGCCAGGTTGGACAGAGCCTTGGGTGGCACGGTTTAGTGTGAGGTTTCCCTGCCCATGGCAGGGGGGTTGGAACATGATCTTAAGGTCCTTTCCAATCCTAACCATTCTGTGACTCCATGATTCTATGTGATTCCAAAACTCATATGGTTGCAGAAATACTATACTCAAGAAGAAAAAAAGTCTGGATGGTTTTACAGGAAAAACTATTCAACTATTATGCTTTGTCAGCCTGGCCACAGTCACATTGTTAGCTGGACAGCAAGGAAGGGGGTGTACGTCTTTTGTCTTTCTCAGCCAGGCTGGGAGGTAATCAGAGGGGAACCTTTGGGAGCAATCAGGATCCCCCATGCAAACACTCTGAACTCAGATCTCCAGGGAGCATCCCCAATAGCAGATTCCAGAAAGACAGCAGAGCAATTTGAAAGTCTGTACCTCTAATTAGCAAGCGCGTATTTCCCCTCGGGGCAGAGGGACTGGAGGCTCTGCTAGTTCAAGCAGACATACTGGCTGTTCTTATTTGGTTATCTACTTCTCATGTAAGCTCCAGCCTGATGATCTTACCTTTAACCCTGTGCCTTCAATCCTGCGCTCAATCTAGTTTTAGTGTGGGGCTGGGAAGGAATTCACTGAGGAGGGGGAAGAGGAACCAAAGTGAAGATTGGGAAGGACTCAAGCTCACCCATCAGCTGCAAAAGGTGCCCTTTCAGCCTCTGTAGTGCTCATGAGGCACAGGGTTTTCATCCTCATTGCTGGAAACTACTTCTTGCCATCTGTGCTTAACCTTTCACATCTCTAACTCTCTTGTCAACCTCATACCCACAAGGGAAGAGCAAGTCCTTCATGTAATGCTCTCTCTAGAAGACACTGCAATTTCACTTCATTCCAGTTTCTGTTGTGTTATCTCTCACTGCTGACGCATTCATCCAGCCAAGGCAACATGCAAACAGAGCAGCATTATCCCACTCTCCTCTCTGCATGGTGCACGTGCCAAGGTGCAAATCACCATGCTGTGCAATGAGCAGGGGAGTGACAGTGCTGAACAGCAGGACTCACTGGTTCTGTCTTATGCATTGCAACATAGATGATCATAAGAAAATAAATTGAAGTTGGTCTTTTCCATTGAAGTAACTGTTTGAAGGAATGCTCTGGTTTAATACTTTTGTATTTCACCTTTCACTTGACAAAGAGAGATACTTCCAATCTGCGTAACAAAAGCAAATCCTTTGCAAGGTATTGCAGCAAGGAGCCCTCTTTTTATGTAAGCTCTGGAAAAATCACTCACCTCTTAAGCCGACAGTCAAGAAGCAGGCATGCCATCCCAGAAAGTGTGCAATTCTGTCCACAACATCCTAAAAGCTAAGAACAGTAGAGAAAGACTGGAGAGGAGTACCAAGACCTTTGGATGATCCATCTTGACTGCTATGTGAATAACTACTCTGCTGGTATCAGTGGTTCTTGCACAACACATGCCTCTGATGGTACCTAAACACTATTATAAGACTGGACAGCCCACCTTGTCAAGATCTGAGGCTGTTTTATACTGTCCTGACAGCTTCCTGGCTTTGACTTCTTTCTATTTTCATTTTAGAGCATGTTCACATTAATAACAGTGGCTGAAATGTGTGTTCTCATTATGAAGGAAAATCTGCTCTTCCAAAAAAACTAATCAAGCAATACATTCACGCCTGAAGCAGCATTTTAATGGAAGAAAAGCTTCATGTGCATGTTGCTAAATTTCACTTCCTTACAGTTGCATTACGTTTCCGTTATTAGGTTTTCCTAACACTCAGCCATGCTGATAAATAGCACTTTTCACTATGATGAGAAAGTAGGGACATTTTGGATAGGTGTTGGTCTATTTCACCTCCCTAGAAAATACATTGAAAGATAAAAAAGTAAATTCCTTCTATTTCTTATTACAGTACTCTTGTCCTTTCACCACAGAACACTGGATTTCCCAAACACATCCCAACCTGCATCCTGATTACTAGTCAGATAAATGTATATTGATATGGTGATGCTGTCCTCAAATAAGCTTATGATCTAAGGGAGCTGAAATTCTAAGGGAGTTTCCTGCTGTGAACAGAAATTAATCGATCTCTTCTTCCTAGCACCAGCCTAAGTTACTTAGCAGGGTAGCTTTATTTATAACCATTTTGTTATTTGCAATGTGCTGAAAGGCAGTAAAAATGTTTTGTGGTTTAACCCCAAAGTGAAATGCCTAATTCCCTCTACTGAAGCACCAATTTTGTGGCATCTCTTTGTGTCAGGAATGGGAGAGTTCATTCACCCTGCCACAGGCAGCACATCTTTCTAATTGTGGACATAGTTTTCTCTCTCTTCCACGTAAGGAGAGAAGTGGTCCTTGGCTCAGAGAGCTAGGCACCAAACAGAAGTGTGATCTATGAACCATGGCATTCCATTCTCTCCCTCAGTCCTTGGCTCACTCCCAAGTCTAGACACAGACCAGAGCTAACCCATGAGGTACTGACAGGGCTAAATTTAGAGAAGCAACATGCAGTGAGATGCAGTGGTGCTCCTGGTACCTGAAATCTAGCTCAGCAGCTGCAGTATGATGATGCTTCTTCTCCTTGCTCCCATACACAAAGTTGTACACCTTCCACCCCCTAAGTAAATGCATCCATCCAACCAAGATACCATTTTGGAGCACAAGATGGGTGGAAAACTGGCTGGCCAGTCCAGCTCAAAGTGGACAGCATAACTAGATACCTGCCCAGATCTGTTATGAATGGCCTTTAGGAAGACATAATAACTACCTGAGCAGCAGAATCTGATGTGCCAGGGGGAATGCTGTCTGCTAAGTCAAACAGAGATAAGTATAGAGATCACATTCACGTCCAGAAGAGCTTTGCATAGCCCCATCTGCCACAGCCCTGAAGGTGGGAGAGGCTCTTGTTAGCAGCACTTTCTCCTTCATCCAGCCTGGCTTCCCTTTGCTCCTGCCCAGGAGACTGCCACAGAGCTGAACACAGGAACAACACAGAGGGGTCACTGCTCCCTGCTCCTTCTCTCCTCTCTTTGCCTAGTAAACATGAGAGAATTAGCAGCTCCCAAGAAGCAAATACACTTTTTCTTTCAGTAGCCAATAATTAAATAAGTAAAAGTAAATACTGCAGTTGTTGGTATGGTGTGGGATGACAAGGTACAATGATGTTTTCCAGGATACCTATGTTGTAAACTTGGTTGTGGTGTGCAGCTGCACTACAGTCTTGTCAACCTGTTGGTGAGAAATTATGATTTTACTCTTACTGATGACACCCTCCCACCTTGTGATGGATCTGTCTTTGCACTAGAAAAACATAAGCTATAAATGTATAGCTCAAAAATAAATTCTTATTAAGGTATTGAAAAGTTGGTTGGATTAGCTTTTTTAATACAGCCTGTATATTAAAGAAAATAGAGTCTGACTAAGGTAAAGCTGAAGAAGCTACCTGAGCAAAGAAAGCAAGCTCAGGAAATGAATGACAGTGCACCATATGGTCATGGTACTTCTATGTCTTACATCTAATGGAGAAAACCAGCAAAATCAAATAAGTCTTTACATATCTAGTTCTGAGCTACTCTGTGTTTGGCATGGGATTAAAAAATTGTGAAACTGGAACTACAGAGCAGGGAGCAGAACTTCAGTTCATCTTCACAAGTCTGGTGCTTTCGTAGCATTGGCAGATGGCATAAAGTTAAATGCTTCACAAGGAGGAACTTAGTCAGTGTGGATCAATCTGCCCAGGCACACCTGACATTAAAAATATTCTAACCTATTAAGTGCTTAGAACCATTTTAATTGCACTCTGGGGCACAAAAAGAGGTATTTGAGCTGTAGTAAAACTCATCGCCCCTCCCAAAAACTGTCTACACTCAATCACTACGCACTCTGATTTTGCACAGCACGACACAGGAAACCTGCTTAAAGCTGTGTCTGAAATAAAGTGTTTCAGCACTCAGGGAAACTATTCTCTCAGACAAGACCACTTGCTAAATTCAACCCATAAACAGTTTGCACCTCCCTGAATGCCTTTTCTCTGTTAGTTTGCTACTGATCAAAATCTCTCTGCTCAGATCCCCAAAGCTGTCCCACAAGAAAAGAAACCTGCCTCAGCAAATATGCTCTTCCTTGGGAGAGAAACTGGCAATGTGCATTGGGCCTGCCAGAAATCACCTAAAAAACTGCTGGAAAGATAAAGTGGAGTTAAAACTGGCACCGGGGAACAGCTGGATCTCATCCTTTTACAGTGGGGTGATGCAATCAGCTATCAGCCAGCTGTGCATCTCTAAAGGCTATGGGCAGCTCTCTGCTTGGTTCATGGATTAGCTATGTGACCTACCACTGCGAAGGAAGACAGCCATGAACCAGGGTACTGCTGTCTTTCCATGCTACACCATTGCCAAAAAGCATCCATACAACCTCACCATGTGTGTCCTCAGCGCCTCCCCCTCTCCTATCTCTATGTACCAGACGCACAAAGGAGTGATTACCTTGGAGTTGTTTCAGCCCAACTACATCAGTCAGGCCTCCAGTCTGCTAGATCAGGAGTAAGCTTTTAGAGAGTGATATTTGAACAAACAGCACATTTGCCAATATTCCCAGCAAAGGGAACTAGCAGCAAATACAGCAGGATGTTGCAGTAGTGAGAGGCATAGTGGTGGCAGCTGGAGAGTCTGCTTTCTTCTGCTTTTACATTTCTTAAACAACATATCCCTATTTTCTATTCTTACACACACACACACCCTTTTGTTTTTTACATTACAGGTGGATTTTTTCCCCAAAACACTGGAAGAAAAGGACATTAAAATGTAAACAATTAGCTTGACTTCACATTTTAAAACAGAGGCATGTGCAAAACAGCAACAACATAGGAAGGTAAATCTGCTATGAGTTTCTTCATTTTTCCCATTATCAGAGACCACTCTCAAGCAGAACAAAATCAGCAAGGAAGTCGATAGAAATGGGAGCTGGTACATGTAAATTCAAAGCCAGATCTTTTCTCATCGCAACTCAGCCAGGCCAGGAACATGCAGGGAAGGAAACCTTCCAGCACAGCTGACACTCAGTAATACAATTTCTCTCTCTTCAAGGCCACAGCAGTTGGGCAGATCCTGAGTGCTGACACTGGTGTGTCCATCTATAAGCAACTCTTCCCTCCAGCCTGCCCTGTCCCAAGGTGTTATAATGCTGCTCCTGGGGTTTCACAGCTCTTCCAGGATTTTGGGGCAGCCACCAGGGTCTGCAAAGGGCAGGAGAAATTGCTCCTGGGGTTTGCAAACACAAGAATTGACCAGCAGGGAAACACAGGCATAGGATTTTGAACCTTGATAAAGACTCTGGGAGAGAATGCCTGTCAAAGAGGGAGTAAGGAAGGTTTGATAAGGTAAAACCCATGCCATTGCCTGCTCACCCTTTAGGGTATCACACACTAGAACTCAAGGATCTCCCACCACAGGCACAGCTATCAGACAGCACTTGCACTGGTGGTGCTGGACACTGTACCTGCCATGCATTCACCTTCCAGGCTTTGCTGTACACCAGAAAAGGGGCCATGTCCCCACCCCAGTGAGCAAGCATAGGCTCTGATGCTGAACAGCATCTAAGCCAAGGCTTGAAGCTCAGCATATGTTTCCCATCCTCCCCTGCATGCCTGACTACCCCACAGCATGCATGCCTGGCATTTCCTTCCAGACAACATTTCCCACATCTGATGAAGTGATACTGAAATAGCTATGCTATTTCCCCTCAGTCATCCAGGGCCAGCTTTAACATCACGGCTGTCTTCTTGGAGATACTATCTAAAAGGTGCCATGAGTCCATGTTCTGGATTCTCTTGGGCACAAAGAGCAGAGATCCCCATTTCTCTCTGCATGTTCTGGCCAAATGAACACTTTTCCCAGGGGTTCTCTCTCACATCATTATTTCTTTGTGGAACAAAAAGAGAATTTGATAGAAAGCAGGACTCACAGCAAGAAGTATTCACGGGACATCACCACACGGTGCCAGCAGGCCTGGCACAGCCTCTGGGCTCTTCCAAGAGCTTTGGTTTTTCTTATTTCCAAGAAACACCCTCTTTTTTGGATTTGTTTGCCTCACCTGGGAAATGAAATCAGCCAGAGGGATAAGGAAGGATGAGGAAGCAGTGCTTAGCGTAAAATCTTTCCCTGACGTATGCCATCTTTGTGGTTTCACCTGCTGGCCACTTGAAAGAAGATCATCTTCTCTGTGCAGCCAGAAGAATTACCAAACAGACTACAAACTTTCTGCAACATATTCTTATGACTGCAGCCATAGCAGTGTATCTCAAACATAAATAGGTGATACAAAGACAGGGAAATGTCAGGAGCACCATGATGAAATCATCTGAAGAAACAAGAGCTGTTGCTGCTGAATTTGGTGTTAAAAACCAATAATTAAAAAGAAAATTCAAAGGACCTGAGGT